GTAAAATCCCACGTTGCCCATTTGTCCCATTCGCCACATTTCGCATCGATTCAAATATAGTACGAAAAAGACGCGACCCGCGAGCACCGTTAGATTCTCTTCGAAACCGTAACGACGACGATGACGATGAAATTCGGATCTGAACTCTGGTAAACCTTAAATGATCGCGCTTAAAGCCTACGATGGTATTTAGTTTAATATTCATACAGATAAAGATAGTACGATTAGTTAAATGTTTAGCCCCGCTCCACGCTCAAACGCGTGTGTCACGTGTTACCTATAAGAATGTACTGAAAACCACGCGCGTGTGCGTGCATACGTGAACGTGTGTGTATATACGTGTGTGTACATATGTATAGAGTATACAAGTGTACTGTGTATACAATCGTTAACGATGCTTGTACATTTTGCGTGTGTAATGTGTGTATGTGTATGTGTCATATGTGTAAAACCGGTCGTGTGTGTTCGTTTATTTTTTTATTTTGTTCTTTTATATTGTTTGCTAGTTCTTTACAAGTTATGCAAATAATTGCAAAAACATACCCTGTTTCCTAGTATCACCGACACCACGGCTACCGGATATCAGGTCGCGGCGCGCGTGACTTGAATCCAATGTAATCCCACGTAAAATTTGGATCGATGACGCGGTACAGCAGTGTCGAGAGGGTTGATAATTTTGGCTGTTTTTTTTTACTTCTTTATCTTTTGTGTGCGAGTACGGTGGTAAAATGCTAGTATGTTTACATGAGATGTTTGATCGTTATTATTATTATTATTAAGGTTAGTATTAGATTCGAGAGCGGAGGATACTCGTTCCCGTTTCCCATCGAATTTTCCTGCGTGTCCCCGTGGCTACCGTAAAAATTACAGGAGACCGCGAAGAATTCATAACCGCGGGACGAGTCCCAGAAATTTGAGAGCCTTGTTTCTCCATTCTTTTTCAGAACTCGTCTCGTGGCGCGCGAACAGCTCCGTTAAGATCTTCCATGTAATTTTGACGGTCGTCAGTTCCGTTGGACAACGACGACCACGAGTACCAATTTTACGGTTTCAACGAACTTCATCGATAAAAACTGCAGCCCCGAGAGTTCGCGAAAAGATTCTTAGGTTCAAGTCGAACGGAAATTAACAGAAAAACTCTCGATACTCGAGCGCGCTGTCAGTGACGCTTGAATTTCACTTGCTTTTGTTTTTCCTTTCAATTCGCGAGCTAGTCGCTTCTCGAGCAGAATTCGGAACATTTAATTAGCGAGCAGCGAATTCGTCTCAGCATTACATCAGGTCATGTAAAAATAAATTCGAAGCTGATCCTCACGGATTTACTATTATCATTTATCATCTTCTTGTCCTTAGAGCTAAGAATATTTTATCTCCTTTTTCACCTTTTAAGTCTCATTTACTCCACAGCAAGATGCATACTGCTTCGGTTGTAGCAAAAACTTTGTTGGATAAAATAGTTGTATTTTTTTGCTTTTGGTTTGTTTACAATTGTCGTTATCCTCGAATTTATACATTTATATATATATTTATATATAATATGTATATACTTTATATTTATATGAATTTATGTAACTATAAATCATTACAATATTATTATGGTATTTTTTTTATTAGGATAGGTTGTGTACCTTGATATTCGCTATTAGTACTGTTAAACATTAAAAAGCTTAGATCGTAGTGATATTATCAATTGGTGCTTGCATACAAGCTTTTACCAGTATACATGTCTTTCTCAATCTTTTTCTCTTTCTTTGTATTTGATGCATGCGCATGTATCTATGTGTACCTGTGTGTGCGTGTGTTTGTATGTACGTGTTATCACCGTGGCTGCCTAACATTCTCTAAACTGTATCGCATGATATACACGGTGTAATTTGATTTGGAACTCATGTTCAACGGACGAGTATGAAAATGAATTGTTCTGTGAACGAATCGTAGAAATCAGAGTTAACGATGTGTCGTATGAAGAGAAACGAAACTAACACGCGGGGAACATGTGTGCATGGTACTCGTCTACCCATAATGATCTCGAAAATGGAATGCGTCGATTCGATTTCAGCGGAGAGATCAACGAACTGGTCTTCGGAATAGGAAACTCGTAGACGGCCATCTAGCCGAGTCTAATCCGCTCAGCTTGTCCGCTAATCGTCTTTGCCCAACGTGTACCGAGAGGCATGCACAATACCATGAGAAATGAAACGTTCATCTGCAGGTTGCACGGCCGCAAACACCCTCTGTAGATCGTTCGTGTGATACATCAGCCCGGTAAAGATAGACACGCATTTCCTAATTGTGTTTACGCTCGTGTCCCTATATGCGGCTGGATCAATGCGTGCGTAGCCAGGCTTTCCGCTTCGCGATTGCTCTTATGGTCTCTGATTGGACCACGGTTTGGCAAACACGATCGCGTTAATGCCGGTGTACTTCTCTTATATTTGCTTTTACGAACAGAGTCGATTTGCGTAACAGATTTCATCCGTTAACGCCGCGGAATCGTCGTCGCGTTCTTGCCTCAGCGAGATCTCAATTTCCGACAATCGATAGTTTGCTTGGACGTGCACCGGTACAACGTGGCAAAGATCTCGAGTTTAAGCGTTACAATAGACTTCTACTTTTTTCTTTCAACGTTACGAATCTACGCCCGCGTTTCTGATTACATTGGTCTAAGCGCTCGTACGTGCACACGCACGTGCACGTGTATACCAGAGAGTGTGTGCACGGATTGTGTACGCACCAGTATAGACGGTTTTTAGCTTCCCTAAAACTGACAAGAATATATATTATGTATAATATACGTATGTTTACCGTGTAGTATAAATTATGTATACGTCCTATAAAGTATCGTTATTATTATTGTTATTTATTAGTACTAATTGGTTTCTCCTTTTTCGTGTATAATATAATAGTATTTCATATCGTCAATAACTAGCAAGCCATTCGAGCTCGTCAAGGGAGAGGAATTTATAGCACACCCCCTCCTTTCGGTTTCAACTTCATTACTTTACTTGTATGCGCCCACCACGTTTACATACGTGAACCACATACACGTATGTATCACATTTTTTTACATTAATAATTACGTGAATTTGCAATAGTGTTTGCATGATGCGCGTGTGTTGTGTGTCTGTCAGAGTGTGCGAACAGGCAATAAATTTACAAACAGTTGGTAAAGCAAGAAGAAGGGTTGCCTGTTACTAAAATATAAGTACATTATTTATATGTGCATATATAAATACATAAATGAATATATGTACGTACGCATATATATATTATAATCATATGCATGTATGAATATAATAGTCATACGCATATTCATACGTATATTCATATGTTCTATATATACGTCTATTGTAATCATATGCATATGGTTGTTACACTCATATGAACATTATACGTTCAGACGTATATACAGACGTATATGTATATGCGTACATAATATACTCAGTTACATATTTACGTATCTGTAGCAATTATATATATTAATTTAATTAGCGTATAAATTTGCGATAGCTTTTACTCGCTTCATAAACTTGCGCCAGACTAGAGCCGATCCTCCCCGTTTACCCGTCCCTCGAACTAATAATTTATTTCGTGTTAATTTAGCTAAACTATAATAATTTACTAAGTCTCTAGTTTCCTTCGATCAATATATACATATACATATATATGCATACAGATGTGTGCATCGTACACGTATATATGTATATTATACTCATTTATTTATTCATTCGCTTTATTTATATATTATATTTCATTATTTATATTTCATATTATATTCCATATTTATAGTATTTATATTTATATATTTATATACTTCCTCTTTAATAATTCATATTTATATATTTATATAGAATAGTTGTTGGTACTTTGGTTGATTATTTTTGCTAGATCAGAGTTTCCTCTCCGTTCCATCGCTCGCCTACACTAGCTCTCTAGCCTAACCCTTATGTGTTTCGCATCGTTCTAATTACTCTCATCTCACCTATTGTATCTGTCCCCGTTATCTATCCACGTTCCATCGCTGCCCTTTTGCTCGCGATCGTTTTCGCAAATCGGAGCTCGTTCGATTACCTTGCGATTCGACCGGGCATCGCTCGTTAAACGTCCGAGTGTTTTTTTTTTTGGTTTATCGTGCTTAAAAAAATATGCAATGGTCATATAAGTACCGTGCACTGTTATTCACGTAGAATTGTGGCATCGACCACCAAATTCCGTGAACTCCGAACGGAAATGCTACATACGTTCGATCTCGGTTTCACCGATCATTGCTTGAAAAATTATAAATCAATCGTGATAACAAACAACGCTAACAAAAACTTCGAACAATATTTCTATAAGGAAATAAAAAGAAACAACGTAAGGTACCAAGTGTTTTCAGTGAATTGTAGCTACGCGGATAAATTAATTTATTATGGGGTGCATGGTAGACTTTCCTAAAGAAGAGAAGTAGGGGTCTTCTTGGTTTTTGGAGGAGTTTAGAAATTTTTGAAAGTATAGAAATTTTAGAATTCGTTTGAGGAATTGAAAATTTGGGGATTTGGGGAAGTGAAAATTTGAGAGTTTGAGGATTTGGGGAATTGATAATTTGGGGATTTCAGAAATTGAAAATTTAGGGATTTTAAGAATTGAAAATTTGGAGTTCTAAGGAATTGGAGATTTGAGAGTTTAGAGAATTGAAAATTTGGGGAATTTGGGGAATTGAAAATTTGGGGATTTTAAAAATTGAAAATTTGGAGTTTTGAAGGATTGAAAATTTGAGGGTTTAGAGAATTGAAAATTTGGGAAATTGGGGAATTGAAAATTTGGGAATTTGAGGAATTCAAAATTTGATGATTTAGGGAATTGAAAATTTTGAGATTTGCGGAATTGAAAATTTCGTAATTTGAGAATTTGGGAATGGAAAGTTTGTGAATTTAGGAAAATGAGAACTTTCGATTTTTAATATTTAGAAATTCGATATTTAAGGGTTTGGCAATTTTGGAATTTTGAGAAAATATGAGAAGCTAGAAATTTTGAAATTAGTTAGGAAATGCAAAAATGAAGAAATTTGTAAACCTCCCAAAAACAAGTGGTCTCCCTCCCACTCTATTTTCTGTCCATAGGCCTACAATGCACCAATCTACTAAAATTCTGTATCAAAATTCACAACAAAATTACGGATTGCACATGATTCGCTCTCGAACCTTGAAACTATAACTATTTAAGTACTTGATGAATTCCGACTAAAGAACCTAACTCCACAAAACAGACGAAAAGCACCGTCTTCTAAATATTATCATAAATATTAAATAAATATCTGATCAGAAATCGTCTGTCAGCAAACAATAATGGAACACGTAAAAATGACTAGACGCAGACTAGATATAAACAAAGCTCGAACTAAAAGGCATTCAGATTCAGGCAATCGTTTAGCATTATTTACCCCCCGTCGCAATCGAATAGACAAAAACATTCTGCGTAAGAGGGCTTCCCAAGGTCGTCATAGCATTCACCCCCTTGTTTTTTTGTTTTGTTTGAATAATCACAGCCTAGTTGACATTTCTCGGGCGATGCGTGTCCGGTCAGTCAAACAAGAACGTACTCGTGAATCATCGAGCCTCGACATGATCTTGATCCTGATCGATTTGGAAAAGGAACCCCGATAGATTCGGCCGGAAATTCGTTCGCTCTCTTCACTCAATAAATCGTACTTAATAATAATAATGATGATGATAAGGCTAATAATAATAATAATAATAATAATAAAACGTTACATAATGTAAACGAGCGCCGTAGCGCGGACGACCGGACTCCAAGATGACATCCACTTTGACACGGCACTGACGATCCCTTTAAATGTCGTATATGTATTATATAAAACCTACAGCACGGACCTATGCGTTTTCAAACCTTAAACTTAAGGAGAACCGATAAACCCGCGGATGTTGGGTCGGCACTGATAATTCCACAATTTCACACGAATTACATACGTGTATAATGAATGTATGCGCGTGTTGTGCATGTGTGCATGCGTGTATGTGCGCGCGTATACGTATACGTCCGACGAGACGGTAGCCGGATACAATTGCGGATCCTATTTTGGTTCGCTTGCCATCTCACCGGACTATATACTATATATGTATACACCGACATGTATACGCATGTAAACGTGTTTCTCGTGTTCCATACGTAGTCTCTTTCAGAAATTCCTTTTTTTCCTTGTTTTTTTTTTAGACGTTGCGTGAGACGAGCACCCTGTATACGTGATTGACAAGTTTGCGTTAGGAGAGACGGCACTTGCCGTCGCGGTCTGTCCTGACGAGGACCATCGAAGATCCTAACGATTCGACGTCGATACATCGATATTTATCGCGCGTTCTCGGACCAGAGTTGAGACACGTTTAATGTCGGATTCGTGGAATTCTGCGTTCGAAACTAAAGCCGGAGTTTAGCTCGTGAAACGAATGTAGCTCGATAGTAGCTGTTGTTTCCTAAAGAATCTGAGGAGGGTATCTGTTTCTCTCGTGTTCTATTGGATCGAATCGCAGTAATAGTTAACTTTTGTATCAACAGTCGGTCGGCGATCCATCGCCATGCCGTTGCGTATCAGGAACTAAGAGTATTTCTTTGGTTATTGTTGCAAAGTCACCCGTCTTGAACGTTCATCGTGATTATCAAACTAGGAGTTAGCGTGTCGTCGGAACGATAACTCGATCGAGAGATTCTTAGCCTCTCGACGTTAGGTTTCCCGGATGATCGGATTCTCGGATAGCGCTAGGTCGAAGAAAAACAGGAAGGAAGGTTGAGAAAGTTTTCGCCATTTTGATACGATTCTCGCTTGGCAGTAGGGATCGAAGGATGAAGAAAGAAGATGCGTAGAGGATAGGAACGCAAGAAAAGAAAAATGGAGAGAATGGAATAATTGATGCGTTTCTAGCAGATAATTCGTTCTATCCGAGCATCCGAGAACTCTGAAGCGTGAATCCTACTCGGACTGGGTTCAGTGCTGAATATCCAATGTTTTTTTTTTCTTTTCTTTTTTTTAGCATCAGCCTCTTCGTCATCGCCGCGTGGCTGCCGGCGAAGTCGGTCTACTGACTTTTTTATCCTCTAATTAATTACCTAACTAGTATACTAGGTTATTATAGTGGAGAGCGTTGTAACGGTGATTCAAACTCGTCACTTCTGATCGTCGAGCGTTCAATGAGCCCGTGTTCTTGTACGACATCTGTAATTAGAAATCGTCGATACTTTTTACTTTCTTAATAGTATAATATTCGAATTTAGTATTATTATACTACATTGTTATATTCAATTAGGATATTAAAATTTAATATGAAAGTTTAACATTGATTTGTAATATTAAATTATAATACTGAATTCTAATATTCAATTGTGATATTGGATTATAACATCAGATTGTAATATTCAAGTATAATATTCAATTATAATAATGAACTGTAATATTAAATTGCAATATTCAATTATGACATTAAATTAAAATATCAAATTTTGATACTGAATTCTAATATTAAATTGTGACACTCAATTATAACATTAAATTATGATATTCAATTGTAATATTCAATTATAATAATGAACTGTAATATTGAATTGCAATATTCAATTATGACATTAAATTAAAATATCATATTTTGATACTGAATTCTAATATTAAATTGTAACATTCAATTGTGACATTCAATTATAATATTAAATTATGATATTGAATTGTAATATTCAAGTATAATATTAAATTATAATAATGAACTGTAATATTAAATTGCAATATTAAAAATTTAAGGACCTTCAATAAATACTATACTATGAGGCAATATCAGTTAATTTTGAAATACAAATAAAAAACACTATATCTACCAACAGACAGTTATTTCAAAATTAAAAATTAATTAAAAATATTGAAAAACAAATGATAAAATAATTAATATCCTCACTATTGGAATTTTGGAATACTGTATCCTGATGAAAATTAATAATGATTTAAAAAAGAAACAAATTTCGTAATTTGAAATAAAGTTTGACACCTTCATAGTTTTAGTTGTATGTGTTATAGAATAGTGTTTTAATAGTGTTTTAATACGTACTCTGTAGGTTATGATGTAGGGTGCGTATCGTCCAGTTTCTCTAAGCTAGGACTTTGGTTAGTATGGCCGGTTTGTGTCCTTGGGCCTCTTCAACTGGACTTTTAAACGCTTCATCCCTATCTGGAAGCCATTCATCGCTTGAATCGCTGCATGCGCGCTTGCAGGATTATCGAACGATACGAAACCTGAAAGAATCGAATGATGAAACTGTTGGTCAGTGACAGGAAGGATTTTTCTCCATTTTGTTAGTGTTTCGTATAGAACGGCATTAGTTATACATTTCTAGAAGTATACATATCGGTTTTTCGAAAAACAGCTTGACAGCTTCCATTGCAGCTTTTGATTAGATACTTCTTTGGGAATTGCGGGGAAAACCAATATGTGTATCAAGAATTGCGTATTGGTACATAATTGTATCGAATTTTTAAATATGGTACTTATGATCTATTGCAAGGTTTTGTTTTATTGCGATGAGGCAAATTTTTTTAATTTCAAGGTTCTTAAATTTGGAAAAATATTTTTCATTTTTTAACTTTAAAATTTTTGAGTTATCAATTCGTCAAGTTTTTGTAATCTGTTGCAAATTTTACAATCCTGAAATTTTTGTATCTTCACATTTTCCAAGTTCCCAATTTCCCTATTTTCCAAGTTCCCAATTTCCCTATTTTCCAATTTCCCAAGCTTCCAATTTCCCAAGTCCCCAAGTTCCCAAGTTCCCACGTTCCCAAGTTCCCAAGTTCCCAAGTTCCCAATTTTCCAATTTCCCAAGCTTCCAATTTCCCAAGTTCCCAAGTTTCCAAGTTCCCAAGTTCCCAAGTTCCCAAGTTCCCAATTTTCCAATTTCCCAAGTTCCCAATTTTCCAATTTCCCAAGCTCCCAATTTCCCAAGCTTCCAAGTTCCCAAGCTTCCAAGTTCCCAAGTTCTCAAGTTCCCAGGTTCCCAAGTTCCCAGGTTCCCAAGTTCCCAGGTTCCCAAGTTCCCAGGTTCCCAAGTTCCCAGGTTCTCAAGTTCAGAAATTGCTAAGTTCCAAAGTTGCCAAGTTTCCAAATCCTCAAGTTTCCAAGTTCCCAAGTTCCCAAGTGCCCAAGTTGCCAAGTTTCCAAGTTTCCAATTTCCCAATTTCCCAATTTCCCAAATCCCAAATCTTCCGAATCCCAAATCCCCCGAATCCCAAATCTCCCGAATCCCAAATCTCCCGAATCCCAAATCTCCCAAACCCCAAATCCCGCACATCAGAAGTGAAGTCATCTCACGAACTCCAAGAAGACGAATACGACGATAGTTCGTGTCGTAAACAAAAGCAACGGGTGCATTACATCGAGTTACTGCGGTTATTTTCTGAAAATCCAATAACGGAGAGGTTTCCCGAAAAAAGGGGGCAAAAGGAATCTTTTCCATCGGACAAGGGTTAAAGCCTCTTCAGTCACCTAGTAAAAGTAATTTACGAACTCCGGGTAAAAGCGGTGGTCGTCGAGCGATGAAGAGCCACGATTGGTCAGGCAGTAGGCCGCCATGATGGCAAAACTAAAATTGGATCGGGGCTAATGGTCAAAATTGGCTTAAACTGGAAGGGCCCTGATGACCTTTCAGCGGCGCTTCTGTTGTTAAGAGCTTCGTTATCGTGCACCTTCTCTTCCCCTCTCACTCTATCTCTCTCTCCCTCTCTCTTTTTCTCATTCTCGATAAAACTTTGATAATACCAAAGCCCCTCCGTAGGAAACTCTTTATTCCTCCCGGCGAATCAGCTAATCTAAATCACTGGTTACTCCCGTGAGTACCCTTTCGCGATAATCCGATGCCCTCCGGTGTCGATATTCAACTTCCCGGTTTCGTCGTAACTCTGGGAGCATCGTAACCAATTCTTTAATCGCTTTTATTTCCGACTATTCTTATGGAGGCTTCCTTTAGCCGATCCTTTAATTCGCTTGAAGAGTTCAGACGCCATGTTGGCCTTTTAGGGTCGGACATGTTGTTGACAACATTTGAGAAACTTCATTGGCATTCGTTTATTCTCCCGATATTCCGTAACGACTTTATTGAAATATCTGAATTCCCGATTTTTTTTTTGAAATCTTATTACATTTTTTTAGTATCTTTTTGGTTCTTTCTGAATTGAATCTTTTAACTAGTAAACTAACTAGTACAAAATTAAGTATATATTTTTTGAATTAAAGATTTATTTTTTTTAACTAGATATTGCATTCAATGTGGAAGCAAGTTAGAAGAGAGTTATACAAATACGTTTAAGTATTGTTGAAATAATTATTATTGATAGTGTACTTATCGATGAAAATTGGAATTTTGAAAAATTGGAAAATTGGCAATTCTGGAATTTTAGAATGGAGATTTGAGGGATTGGGAATTTGGGGATTTGGGGCTTTGGGAATTTGAAAATTTGAGAAATCCGGAAATTGGGAGATTTGGGATTTGGGAGATTTGGAATTTGGGAGATTTGGGATTTGGGAGATTTGGGATTTGGGAGATTTGGGATTTGGGAGATTTGGGATTTGGGAGATTTGGGATTTAATTTGGGAGATTTGGTATTTGGGAGATTTGGGATTTGAGAGATTTGGGATTTGGGAGATTTGGGATTTGGCAGATTTGGGATTTGGAAGATTTGGAATTTGAGAGATTTGGGATTTGAGAGATTTGGGATTTGAGAGATTTGGGATTTGGGAGATTTGGGATTTGGGAGATTTGGGATTTGGGAGATTTGGGATTTGGGAGATTTGGGATTTGGGAGATTTGGGATTTGGGAGATTTGGGATTTGGGAGATTTGGGATTTGGGAGATTTGGGATTTGGGAGATTTGGGATTTGGGAGATTTGGGATTTGGGAGATTTGGGATTTGGGAGATTTGGGATTTGGGAGATTTGGGATTTGGGAGATTTGGGATTTGGGAGATTTGGGATTTGGGAGATTTGGAATTTGGGAAATCTGGAATTCGGGTGTTAGAAATGTGGAGACCAACAAATTTGCAAATTTGGGGATTGGGAATGTAGGGATTAGAAAATTTAGGGATTTAGGGATATGAGTAACTGCAGATATGGGTGTCTGGATATCTAGTGATTTGGGGATGTAGGTATCTGCAGATTTAGGGACGTAGGAACTCGGCAATCTAAGAATTTACGGATCTAAAAATTTGACAACCTTGAGATTTGGAAGTTTTCGAATTTCAGGATCCAAAGATATGTGGATCAAGGAATATGAAAGCTCACAGTCTTAGGGATATAGGGATTTAAGAGTCTATATGTCTAGAGATTTGAAAACCTTAGAATTAAAAAATCTAGAGATCCGTAATATAGGGATTTAATACTATGGGAATTTGAGAATTTAGGAAACTAAGAATTTGAGAAATTCGTGAAATTTGAAGAATTCCGAATTTCGAATTTGGGAAGTAGACTTGACAAACCCAGAAGTTTAGTAACTCAGAAATTTGTTAATGTAGAAACTTCAGGATTTCAAGAATTAAAAAATTTGCAAATATATAAAATTCAAGGTTGCACAAATTTAAGCTTAAAAATTTGTGAATTCTGATAAATCAGCAGCCACCTACAGTAAGCCTAACCTAACTCAAACTTAATTATAAAGTACAGTTTAAACATAACCTAATCCAACGCAAACCGGCAAACTAATCTAAAAGTATTTTAAACAATCAGAATAAAATAAATTTGGTACCCCTTTGTGTATAATTCAAACTAAGTCATAATATACTACAAGCTTCCTAAAACTAGTGAATTATATCTTTACTGTAATTACCAAGTAGAAGAAAATTAATGGCCTGGACAAAATGGACGAAATTTCTGCTTTATTCGTTCGTTGAAACCATTTAAATTACACACACGCAAATTTTATGATCGCAGTTAAAGAAGGAGGTTATGTGTGTTGTTTTACGCAGTCCATCATGTGTATAATGGCCGACGCTCTTTCAACGATTCATGTATTCGTTATCGACAGACGGGAAAATATTAATCGTGCTTGTTACGAATGAACAGTCTAAGAAAAATACGAACGAACGTATTCGTCGAATTATCCGCGACCATATTCGCGTATTCAGCCCGGTTACGATTAATCAAAGCAGCCGTTGCTAGCTCTTTCAGCCTTTTTTGTTTCGGTCCCCTTCGCTTGACCAAAAAAGGCTCCTGCTTTCATTTGAGTTGAGCTGCATTCGAACGAGTATTGATATTCACCGAAGAATTTCAATGTGTGAGCTTATAAAAGCTAGAACAAACTTTTGTAGCTGTACTGATCGATCGGATGTTTGCAAAAAATCTAATAAAAATGCACGGCGCAATGAGTATTAAATTTCAGTCGGAATTCAGACTACGTGGAAATTCATATTTTCAAATATATTTTTACCGGTAATAAAACTCGCACATTCAATGGCTACAAAAAGCACACGAGAACACACTAGCAAATGTTCTCGTTATAGTTTCTAAAACTCATTTCAAAATATTCGATGAAAATCTAACAACTGTGATAAATGTACGGTAGATGATATTATTACACTCATTCTCATCTATTTTTTAGATAATTTTAACAGTTTTTAAATTGAATTTATTGCTAAGGATGTTTTAGCTTGAGAAACAGCAATTTCTCAAATTTGAGGTTAGGTTTCCTTATACCATAGAATCCAGTTTTTCTCGGTTGTTCAATTAATTCATCTATTGGAAAAGAATTTACTAAATATACTAATCAACAATTGTCCTGCTAGTTAATAAAAAGAACAGTAAAAGCTTTCGCACACTACAGTACTTGATAAACCAGACTCACATTTTCATCGCAATTCAGAATGAAGAATCTTTGAACTTTCTTTATTCAGATGTAGCAAAAATTATTAATTACACTATTTGTGCCTGACGTAATTGTGTAGATCATAGTTCAAATTTCGTATATTCTGCGGTCAGACATTTTTGCTATTATTCCTTGCAATGATCCTTGCCATTACCGATAATATCCAAATTGAAATACAATGATGTACCAATAAATAGAACTAGAAGGAACCATCCATAGACAAATTAGTGTGACAACTTGATAACAGGTAATTTCGATTTGACGAGTCAGCAAATCGATCGGCGTGAAAATCATCGTCCGCCCTACCTTTCGTAGATCACATCGTCGTCTACCTGTTTGTTTCTTCCGGGCCACGCTCGAACTGTTTCACGGAAATGACACACTTACCGAAGCATTTGCTCTGGTTGGTGGCCCGGTCGATGAAAACCTTGGATGATATGACGTTGCCAAACGGGACGAACATCTGCATTAGATCACTGTCTCCGAAATCCTGAGGCAGGTGGTAGATGAACAGGTTGCAGCCCTCGGGTCCTGAGATAGAGCATCCTACCATATAAATCAGAGCACATCTAAACATCTAAACTTGAAGTATAATACTCAAGTTAGAATGTTAGTTTCTGGATGAGTTTCGTTCTTCGCAATATTAATGATTTGGACGCGATACGAGAGTCACACTTTGCTCTCTCTTCACGTTCTTCCCGATTCTCGTCTGGATGCGCTTTTTGATGAATGAAGATGAAGACACGTGACCGTCTCTCAATGACAATCTGATTTCTCTCTCGTCGCACGGAAATCATAAAGGATGATAGTGAATGGTGACTTTGTTTCTTTTGATGAGTCGCGTGATGATTCGAATGGATTAGCAACATAATGTTAGGAATACGAAATGAAATGCTTTCAGAGTAAATGAAATGTAAATGAATAGATAGAGAGGGAGGGAGAGATTAATATAAAGGGAACAAAGGATTTGGTGAAAGTATGAGGAGATAAGAAGTGGATGGGAACCCTAGTGTACTTTAATGGACCCTAGTAGACTAGTGATGTTTAGGATGTGGACAAGGAACATATGGAATTGTTGAACTTATAAATGGAACGATCTTCAGATCACTGATTTGGTACAAACTTCTTACAGTAATTGTATTTTATATCGTATATGAGACACTATAAAAAATAATTTTGCAATATTATATAATTAATGATTACATAATTAATTCTTGCATATTAACTAGCAACTTTAGACGAATATTCTTTCATTTTTATTTAATCAATGTAATTTTTAATTTACGAATTTTAATTTTAAAGTTTGGAAATTCAGTAATTTGGTACTTTGACAATTTAGTTGTATGATTGTTCGAAAACTTGACATTTTTAAAGTACAGTAATATAGTAGCATGGTAGTTTGGCAATATAGCAATGTAGTAATATGGGAACGTAGTCAGTTGGTAATTTGATCATTTGGTATTTTGATCATATGGTAACATTGCAAGTTGGTTGAAAATTTAGTTATTTGTAAACTTGTAAAATTGAAAAACTAAAAAATTGAAAAATTGAAAAATTAAAGAACTAAAGATTTGAAAAACGGAAGAACTGAGGAATTGAAGAATTGAAGGACTGAAGAACTGAAGAACTGAAGAATTGAAGAATTGAAGAATTGAAGAATTGAAGGACTGAAGAACCGAAGAATTGAAGAATTGAAGAATGGAAAAATTGAAAAATTGAAAAATGAAAAAATTGAGAAATTGAGAAATTGAAAAATTGAAAAATTGAAAAATTGAAAAATTGAAAAATTGAGAAATAGAGAAATTGAAAAATTGACAAATTGGAAACTTGGAAATTAAGAAGTTTGGAAAATTGGAAATTCCAAAATTTTCCTCAATTACCAACCTCCACATTTGGACTAAAATCTTCAGCTATAGCTTCCTTTCTTAATCTAGTATAACATCGCAAAATTATTGCTCTTCTTGTCTCTTGTACATATAATATTGCTTTTATACATATAATCTATCAAATTCCCCACAATTTTCAATAGAATCAAAGAAAGACCAAAAGGGATATTGGATCATCAAGGTATAAGGTTGTCGACGAAGAGAGTAATGATTAGAATGTCACGATGATGTCCGTTACGGCAATGAAATTTCTCGCGATTCAAATAACGTTGAGTATTTATACTTTCAAATATACAAACACACAACACTGGGACTCACAACACAATGACGAGCGAGGTGAAGGGTTTTTCTTTTTTTTTAATGAATGCAAATGGAAAGAAAGGGTATAGTGAAGAGTAGTGATGATGCTGATTACGATGGTGCGACACTTTACATGAGATCGTCGTCAGACATGTTAATCCGTCATCTTGTTGCCGCGTCGGTATAAAAATGAATGATACGTTGCGTGAAAACTCATTAAAAACACGTTACTTCTTTTTTAACAAACATTGCATCAATTTTCATCTCGTTGTCATCGAGAACGGATGATTCATTTATTTTTACGCGTTTGGTCTGTTTATATCTTTGTTATACTGAATAAACTTTTGTTATACTAAGTTTATTGTTAAACTTTTATTATCATTCTTTTCATTAAAAATTTTTGGTCATTTAATTATTGACTAATATTTTGACGAAGATCATGAAATCAGATTTCAAATTTTGTAACGATTGATCACTGTTTTAAAATATCAAATATCATTTTTTTTAATTTTTTTGCTCTTCGTGTTTGATTGTGCTATAGAGTGTTTATAATTTACATGTGGTGACTAGATGACTATTACATATAGAGTTTGATATGATCGATAAATGACACGAAAAATGTTTGGTTCCAATTGCATTCTGTACAGTATATCATTTTATCCCTTTAAATAATTATTAATACGAATAAAGTGTCTAAAAATAATATGGCATATTCTATGTTAAATTATAATACACAATGCGTTATTAATATATAATATAATGTAGAAGGAATACAATACATAATGCAAAAGGAACATATGATAAACGATGTAAGAGTAACAGAAAAGACGAGTGCGCACGTGTTGCGCGCACGAGGGGCGTTCGTAACGAGCACGTATCGAGCGGATATTTACCTAGCGTGCATACAGCGACAATTCATTAACGCTGAAAACGCAATTGTACTTCAGAACGAAAAGTTTCGAGACAGGAAGACATCGATGATTAATATGGCCGGCTAAGAAAAGTCTACGGAAGAAGCAAAGCCAGGGGTCTGGATAACGAGAGTCCAAATAAGGATTTAGCTAATTTCACTGAACTTTATAACTCCGACGTCAATTAGCGACGATTATAACCGTGGAAACTTCTGTTCTCTTGGCCAACGCTTCCCGAATAACGGACGCATTTAAGTAATGAGATGGCTGCCACTCAACTTTTAAGATGCTACTCATCGCGGCTCGTTCTTTCGACGAGATTCAACCCTCTGTCATTTCTTCGCCTTCGCGAGCGAACGTCCGTCGCCTTGTCGAATTACCGCAAAGAGGGTAATTGTCCGTTTCCAGTTCCGCGAACGATTACGGGATCCCGTTCATTTTGTGGCCCCCTGGTCGATTTTACCTACACTCCCGAAACGATCGTCGATTAACCCGAGTTTTACAATTGATAGTGAGATTCATCTTTACGACACTTTGATGGAAACTTCGGGATCGTTAAAGTTACGTTCCACCACTAGCGAGGGATCAATGACTCATGAAATGTACATTTAAATGTATACAGTTTGTGCAGAAACGAGACTCACTTTATCCAAAGTTTTTACTGAAATATTTTTTGCCGAAAATAGTTTCAAAGTTGGTTTTTTTATTGAAACAGTTGGAACTGATTCTGAGGTTTGTTTTAGTTGTATTGAGGAGAAGTTAGACTTCTCTGAAAAAAATAGTGCAATGGGTAGCCATTTGCTTAATGAATAAAATTAATTCTGCCGATAATCTTACAGATTTTTAAATTTTTATCCAAGACATTTAAAATATTGAACAGTTTTTAATTTTTTAATATAGAACTTCAGCAATTTAGAAATTTACTCATTTACAAGTGTGGAAATTCATCAATTTTCAAATGATTAAATTTAGTAATTTACTGACTTTCTAACTTACATATTTAATTTTTTTTAAATTGAAAACAACTGCTAAAGACTATTCCTCATACAATCATTCATTCAGTCAAAGAAGTCTACGCTTCACCCTAGTGTACATGTAGTAATTAATTAATTAATTAATTTTGAAGTAACATTTTGTACCCGAGCTTGTAATAAGACAAAATATATCTAAAGAAATATTTCATGCAAAAGTAGAAAATAAAAAAATGAAATAAAACAATTTCTTTTTTGAAGTATTTTTTCTAACCTGTATATACTTTCAAAAATGAATTCTGAATGAGATTATATCCTCTTTTATAACCCGACAATGAGACTGTTCTATTATAAATTATTAAAACTGTTTTATAATTTAAAAGTTGACTTTCTACAGCAACGTTTAGTAATTTACCATTATTCGAATACTTCATTAACCGCATTTCTATTATGTTATGCTTTTAGGTTATCTGCGAATTTTAATTCTAAAAGAACTGTAATGATTTCAATTATTTGTCCAAGTTGTACCTCAAAAAATAATAATGATAATTAAAAACCTAATTTTTCATTTTTAAAGAATAGTTTTTCCGAAACTTCGTATACCTGTATAAAAACCAAGTGGAGCATTAACAGAGTACTCCGTAAATTTTTCATTTCCTTTATACACGAAAGCAACAAAATCTGTAACCAACTCATACAGAGACATAAAATCAAACATTCACGTATTGAATATTCCGTAAATTCTTAATATCCGTTACAGATGTAGCTGAAAAGCAGCTCCCATTACTTCCACAACAAACCACTTCAAAAAACTGTCTCGAATTCTTAACGAAAACAAACAGAATGTTTTTTAGTTCCATTACGATGTAACGGGTGTAAAAAAGTCTCAGAGAATATAAATTTTTAGTTTTCATTTCCGACTTCAAAAAAGGCGGGAAAATCAAGACCGTTTAAAAATTGTCAGATTTATTTCAAAGAAATTGAATATTTTTAAAAATAATCAAGTTGTAAATTTTCTTTAACCTTGTAAAAGTCCAGATGTTTATTTCAATTGCAGAACCATAGGATTTATAGACACGTGACTTCCTCAACTTCTTTTATTTTATAGGTTCTCCCCAAAAAACGTGGCGTTCCCTGATATTTATTAAAGTTTCTTTCAATAAAATATTTGTGCTATTATCTCATTTCTCATAAAAATGATCCGATGTAGATTTAAACAGCGAAGCGCGATAACATCTCCTTTTATGGCCGGTTCGAGCAGCGTAACGTGTTTCATTTCGGGGCTCTTTTGTCGAAGTTTTTTAAGGCAACGAGAAACAAACGTGTCGCTTTTAACGCGTAACAAAACGTGTCCCATGGTTGGCTACAAAGAATGACAAATGTTCTTTCTTTCGTGAGCACCGACTACGTCTCGGTAATAACTCGATCGTAGTTGTCACGTGAAACCCAAATTAGAGCCGGTGTCGACGGTTTCCGGTTTCCGACGAGGGGGAGAATGGAGAAGGAATTGCGGTGGACGCCGGAATCACGAAGAACGAGCCATAAATTCAACCGCGTCGTCGTGCCGTGCGATCGTTGATCCTGAAATTGGTTTTCGACTCTCTAATTGGCCCACGAGCGGGACGTGCATGCGAATTTAATGAAAGCAACACTTTCCACGAGTCTGACGGAGAATTATCAACGACCCGGCTAAAATGTTAAGATAGAAATCTGTCGAAACTGATTCTTCTCGCTGCTCTTGTCATCTTTTTACCTCTTATGGTGCTTTATGCAAAATAACGGATTTCTTGAAATATTCTGTCAAGGTCACCTTTTTTGAACAACTTAACAAAACGTAACAAAAAAGATGCTCTGATGATTTTAACACTGTATGTATAAAAATAAATAAATACGCAAAAAGAGTGCTAGACAAAATGGTTGTCATATCTTAAAACAACCCATCACATCATACGATATAAAAAAGTAGCACCTAGCATGAAAAACGAAAAAGAAAAATCAAATATTAAGTAAATAGTAAATATCAGATTATTTTATTTACAATTTTGTAAATTAAACGAGATATTTATTTATTTATAAATTAAAAAAGATATAACTGTTTATATGGCTGTTTATATAGTTTTGAACGAACTTTTTTAAAATAGTCCAACAGAAAAAAGTTGTACAGGACAATGACCTTGACAGGATATTTCAAGGTCATCGAAGTCGAAACCGTCTTCGTTCTTGCATAATTCACCATTTTATTTATTCTTTTTTATCCGAGTGATTCGAGCTTTCGAACGTGTATGTAGAATGGTTGATAGTCTTCACTTAAATGCTCCAAATACAATTCAAGTTTTGAATACTCTATACACTATAATTCCACCAACATCATCACCTTCTACATACAGACAAATATTTCTTACACAGCATCACCATATTCTAAATAAAATCTTTATCTTGTAATCGATAATATTTTTTCATGTGTTTGATACTTTGAACTTAACAAAACTATGCTACCCATGGGGGAATCAAATCAAAGTGAAATAATTATACAGGGTTTCAAATCAAAGTGAAAGAATCGTATATTGCTTGAGATCAAAGTGAACCAATTATATAACGTTAAAATGAAATGATTTATTTTTGAAATAAATTAATTAAATTTTATTAAGTTATTTTATTGAAATAAAATAATTTGAATAGAATTTGATAATTTGAAATAAACTGTACAAGTCTTTAAAAAATAAACAACTTTGAAAATTCAGGTTTAAGTAATTTTCAATAACTCCATATTTCGTCACACATCAAAATACACGATACTACATATAACACGTAAATACAAAATAACAATTTTGAACACCCTTTGCCTCACCATTTTGTCCCGGTTTCCCCTACAGGTGTCAGCACTGGTCAAACAAAAACATATCGATCACGAACAAAGTTATATCTATTGTTTATGCTAAATGGACACTCTATACGATGTCGACATAAGTTGATCGCATATAAGCGATGATCAACGTCGTCGATAGAGCAACACCGAACACAGCCAAAGAAAGTGACACTGAATACAACGATGACACACTGAAGTAATCCATCAAGAACGTAGACTTCCGTGGTTGAAATGTCGTTGCACAACGATCGATCAAGAGTAAAACGGATAAAACATTAAGGACAGATCAAAGAAGCAAGAATGTTAAACGAAGCGGCAGTATAATAAATATGAAACTGATATCTAACGATGTCGTGCAGTGATGGCGGAATAAATTATACTACTTCTTCTGGTTGTGCCGTCGCGTCGTCTTCGTAGTTCTTCTCTTAAATGATATATGTATTGACATATGTAATCGGTTTTAATGGAGTGACACGCACTTTTTTCTGTTACCTACAAATTTTTATAGTTTTGCGTCGTTGTTATCAAGTAAACTATTTTTAGAAGAGAGGTAGAAAGATGTACGATGGTTCATGAAATTTTATGGAGAGTAAATTTCTCTTTTCGGAAACTCTTTTTTTTTATTTTATCAGTAGATGACATTTAGTTATTTTTTTTATAAATCGTAGTTACTTTGGTCTCTTCGTTTATTGTTTATGAGTGAACGACAAGCTTGATAATAAAATAAATCACACGCGAATAACTGAAATAATGCGAATGTTATTGGTAACATTGATATCTTATTTTATTGGTGACTCATAGTATCAATAAGTAATGATTTGTTTTTGCATAAATCAATTTTATGGAAAATAATTTCAAAATAGTTTCAGAAAATAATGTTAAAATTTTGTCACACATATATTTTATAGAAATTCCAATATATATTTAGAAATATTTCATTATAAAATATGAATTTAATAACTGTTTCAATAATTCAGTACCTTATTCCATCGTTAAGTATAAATATTCCTAAAGAGCATATTATGTATATTAAACATTATAGAAGTTGTATTTAAATCTGAAAGAGAATTCAAAACAGACCTAAATTGAATAAAATCTTGAATATATGAAGTATTTACAGAATGACTGATTAAATATATATTATAATAAGTGAATTTTTATGAGATTTCGAAAAGAAAAATTTTACCTCCAATATTTGAAAAGGAGAAAATGATATAATATAGTTAACCTGTGCTTACATATGTAAAATGTTTGAAAGCGATATAAATATTATTAGATAATTGTTTGCTAATACTCAAGGTTATTCAGAAAGAATACAGATGTTTTATATGTGTAGTCATTTTGTATATTTGAAAATGTGTAAAATGTAAGAAATTGTTAATTAAGTGAGGGACTAAAATGACAAAGTTTTGGATGCTTTTACAAATTTAGTAATTTGATTGATTATTTTTCCTTATAATTTGATTATTATAATTTACCCATATTCAAATGTTCATAAATTGATACACATATAAAATAGTTTTCTTTTAGAATACTTGTGATTTGCTTGTTCTATCAAAAAACGTGAATATATTAACCGAAGCGTATGCGTATCGGCGAAATATTGTGCGTTCGTCGAAAGAGGACGGAAAAGCGGCAATAAAGGAGAGCGAGCAAGAGAGTTGATGGAACTCGGAACAGGAAGGAGGAACGCTGTCGCGGTAAACTTCCTATTATCCTACGATGTAACAACGGATCGCCGGCAGGCGTAGCGGCAAAGTAATTAAAACTTTCGTTTTATTTGCATTATCTCATTGTTAGGCGTCGTATATTCTAATAATGGCGAGTTGTTAATTGCAATTAGGCGCTGGCTCGGCTCGCCCTCCCTTTTTCGCCGTTTATTCGCCATCTTCTACCCGGGAACCTCATTTTTTTTCATTTCTCTTTCTTCTTCTTTTCAAAGATAACGTTGACGAACGATTCGTTCTCTCAACCGTGTTCCTCGCGTTCATGTCGATCCCAATTAATCTCGTGCTCGCAATTCGAGTCAATCAGCTTAATTAATCGTGATCCTTTTCCGAGAGAAAAGTCCGAAGCGCGATTATACGGCCAAACGAAGGACCGGGCACGGATTGCCAAATACGAAACATTCGGGGTTCATTCTTTCGTTATCACGGACAGTAATTAACGGACGAAACACGAGGCGAGAGAGAAAGTCGTTTTCGGAACGAAGAAACCCGGCATTGTTCGCAGTATTGGAAAGGCGAAATATCGCAGTTACATGAAAATTCATCAACGATTGTAGGTCATCCTTCGCTTTTGCCGGCATGATTAAACTAAAAAAGACTGCAACCGTACGTGGTGGAATCAAAAGAGATTCGTCGTGTGTGTTGAGTGGTGATAACGGAAAGAACTGTAGCGTATTTGTACTCTTTTTTTATCTCTTTGCCCGTTTCTGATCGTGCCATTTTGTATCGCAGCGGCCATTTTTCGTGTAGTTAACGAGTTTTCCACGCAGCGCACGAAAATCTGTGATCGGTCGAATAACTTGCGACGCAACGACGAGGGATAAACTCGTGTCTGGACGTAGAAGGACTTGGATCTACAATCTCGGGACTACAATCGTTCGTGTTTACAGTCAACAGTTAGACGTTGATGAGTGTTTTGTACTTACCTTCCCTTTGCGTGGGTGCCACGGCGGTCATCGGCTGAGGAATAGCTTGAGGAAACTGGCCGTAGACGGCGGGATAAGCTGCGACAATAACAAATAACAGATACATCATGATGTGTCCACATCTAAACACGAAATGCATGCTGGTATTATTGTTTCTATCTCGTCTTCGTTAAATAAAACTTCTCATGGCCGTCAGTGTGTTCTTACGTGACAAATATGGGCGTTACGCAATTAGAATAGGTCTTGTATTCGATAATAAATTGAGGAATTGTGCCATACAATTTTTCTACAAGTTTACTTTCTTTGTACGAACATTGATTGAAAAATGTAGAAGTATCTTTTTTAAATTACATCTCTTATTTTTCTCGTGTCAATTCTCTGTAAAAAAGGCGTGTAAAGTTCAAAAGATTTCGATAGATATTTCATATTTTAAAAAAGTTAAAAAAGTTCAAATAATTTGTTTTTCATATGGTAAGAATTTTAATTTATCAAATATCTCATGATATTTTCATATAATGTGCATTAGTAATATTATGATTTTTGGGTATGTATTTGCACATTTTTGTCTGTTGAATTCGCATAATTTCGTATAGGCGTATCAATGTGTCTGCGCATGCGTGGCGTCAGTACAATCTGCGCACGAACAGTCTTGGTACGATCTGCGCATGCGTTTACTAATCTGCGCAGATCCAACCCTCATTCAATTTATTACTGCGCATAGTGCATATAAGCAGGCCCAAGATCAATTACTTTAAGAATCTTTTTAAGTATTCTTTTAAAAATAGAATCTTGATGATTAATTAAATCTTATTGATCTGTGTCTTACTGACTCAACAAATCTTCTTATTAAATAAAGTATTAGCTATCATTTTTGTATATTTTCTAGTAATTTAACCTCATTCAAAATAAAATAATCTAATTTCTATTTTATACAATATTTTTATATATCATTACTGTTCACATCAACGATAACATCAGACATAGAAAACTTGAATAGTTGAAAACTTGAAAATTAATTTTTTAAATTTTATTTTTAATAAAATATTTAAGAACTGTCCTAAAGTAAAGATTGCAAATAATATTGTAAATAGTATTTTACATAGAATGTTTTGGTAAATTGATACGGGTGAAAAGATGAAGTTCCACTTAAATAAAAAGCAATTGCATTTTTTGTATAAATTACTGCATAAGTGAAGTCATAGAAAAATAGAGGTTTATTTAACATTTCTCTTGTTAGTTTTTCGTTTTTTATCAAAATTGGAATATAATTTATGGCAATTGTATGACACATTCTGTATACAGTATCGTATACAAGTCATTTATTGTTACATAACTTTGGACAATTGTATATTTTTTGAAAACTTGACACCAAACGAACGATCCCAAATGTCTTCAACAGAAATCTTGTACTGATTACGATGATCATAATTTAGTTCGAAATGAAGTACAAGCAGTGTTAATCAAATGTTCGTCGATTTTGATGAAACCTAAACACGATATTTGTAGATACTTAACATTGAAAACTTTCAAATTTACAATCTTAGCTGACAAAATTCAAAGAAATGGTAAAACAAAATATCCAAATTTAGAAATTTAGGAATTTAACAATATAGAAATTGTAAATTTTCAAATAGAAAAAATTGACTACTCATTTGTGTTTAATATAAATTTTGATCTGTGTAAAAAAAAGCATCGAATATTTCATCATAATCGCACGAGCACACTTGGTTAACAGCCCTTGTTACTATTCTTTGTCGCCACAATAAAAACCAACGAGAGCGGCATTAAAAACATCGCGATACTTGCAGTTGAATTAAAAAGAACAAAGAGAAAAAGAAGAAATGGAATGGTGTTTGCTCAACGATACGAGTTTCCTTGAATACAGTGCTTTTTCAAGCCAGGGCCGTTAATGAGAAGCGGTTTTGGCCAACAAGCAAGTTCAAAAGCAAACGAAAACCGGACGAGATCTTTCTTCTCTGGACCCTGTATCTGCATTCGTTGAGCCGTTTTACTCGTCAAGGATATTCGACTCTCAACGTTCTCATCGTTCCGTGACTTTTAACACGATACTTTTGTACTTCAGTAACGCCTCTATCCAGGTATTACCAACATTAACCGACACACGATATCGCTTCAAAGTGCTGTATTTCGTCTCATTATGAACTAGATACGCACCGCCATCATTGCAAAATTGCGCTCACGCAAGATGGACGTCGAAACGAGAATATTGCTGGATATAACGTATTTTTTGCAATATTAGATGGAGGTTCGACCACTAATCATTTTTAGAATACTAGTTTTATTAATTATTTTTAAAACGAAGTAGAAAAATAAGGGATGATATGCAAACTTTTTACCGTGATTCTCTATCGTGACAAAAGTATACATACATTTTTTTCACTGACTTATTGTTAGTAATTTTTTAGCGTTCTTAAAAATTTTTAAATATATGAACTATTTTTCTGAATAATATTTTCGTAGTGGAAAGACACGATCCTCTGTTATGAACAGAAGAAGTGAATTTTTCGAGTTTTGACTCTAAACCTTTGAAATAAAAGAACATTGTGAGATTTTCGAAATATTTCGCATATGATCAACAAACGATAGATTTCATCGAATAAACGAACGCTTTACGGCACTAATATCAGTGAAAAGCAATTATAGCGGCATTAATTATACCTTGGCAAATATTTAAAACCCGCGCGATTGATATTTGTTTGTGACGGATAAACGTGGAGTAGAGCGATTATTGGGGGATGAAGGGGTTCGACCATTCGCTCTCAGATCAGAGGAGCTGAATTTTCGCTTGGAAATTAATTATTTCCGTGCAAACATCGCTTTAATATATTCCGATTGACGTTACCGGAGGTTTCGCTGCAACGTGATGACCCGACGTTTGCCATATGAAATAAATACACCATCATACATCGGTTACCATCCGGATAGAAAGACACGCGATATTTCGGATAGCTCTTTTTTTCCCACTCGCTGATTTCCACGCTCTGTGTACACTGCACGAAAATACACAGAAAAAGGAATATCCCATTTTCGAGACTTCGCCAAACATGGAATATCACTGCGTTCTAGCGCGTATGTACACTCGGCTGCCTTCCTTTTTCAAGTAGAAATTACAAATGTAAAAGAGCCTTATAACGCTTGCTTTTACTTTTCTGATCGAATGTTAAGGTAGAGAATTTTTAGCAGGTTTTTTAATTTTTTTTGTGTTTGAATGATTTTAAATCTATTACATTTTTAGATTTTCAAACTTTTCATATATTTTAATTCTAACCTTCATATATAGTCATTTTCGAATTTCTACATTTTTAACCTCTTGCACTATGATTTTTTTTCAAGTGCGTCAGTCAGAACTGACTAATTACAGCTATAAAATTAACCTAACCTAACCTAACCTTCATATATAGTCATTTTCAAATTTCTACATTTCTAACCTCTTGCACTATGATTTTTTGTCAAGTGTGTCAGTCAGAACTGGCTAACTGCAGCTATAACATTAACCTAGCCTGACCTAACCTTCATATATAGTCATTTCCAATTTCTACATTTTTAACCTCTTGCACTATTTTTTTTTTTGTCAAGTGCGTCAGTCAGAACTAATTGCAACTGTAACATTAAAACAGACACAGAAAGTTGAAATGTTATGTCAGTTTGGTATCACGCAGTCGTTGACTATGCAAATTATAGTTTGACTTGAACTCCAAATTGAAATGTATTCAAAATTTGAGTAAAATTGGTCACAGCTGAAGTATGAGTGCGTCACAAGTCAGACTCGTCAAAATAGTGTAAGGGGTTAAATAAGAAAATTTATATGTATAGTAATTTTCAAATTTCTAAATTTTTAAGTAAGAAAATTGATCAAGGTCTACAAATACCTATATCTCTAAATTTCAAGTCCCATAACACTAAATCTACAAGGTTCTAAGACCTGATTGTTAAGTCCACATTGTAAAATCTTCACATATCTAAATACCGAGGTCTATAAATGAAGTCTTCACATTTTTGAATCCACAAATTCCTGTCCTCAAATTGGTGAATTTACATTACCACTCAGATTCCTAAATAAAGAGGTACACAAATTTCTGATCCTCCAAATTTCTGAATCTACAAATCTGAAGGTTCTGAAATACCTATATCCCCAAACTTGAGTTGGGGTCCTAAGATCCACAAATGTCTAATCCTTCAAATTTCTGAATCCACAAATCTTAAGATCCTCAAACACCTATATCCCCAAACTTGCAGTTCCATATCACTAAATCCCCAAATTCCTAAGTCCTCAAATTGCTAATTCTTCAAATTTCTAAATCCATAAATCTGAATGTCCTCAAACACCTATATCCCCAAACTTGCAGCTCCATATCGCTAAATCCACAAATTCCTAAGTCCTCAAATTGCTAAACCCACATGCCCAAATCAGATCTCCAAATCCTGTCCACAAACTAACCCACTCTAAATCTCTAACAATCCCTAAATATCAACGACTAACTTTCCATGCTTGCCATTTTCCCTAGAAACTCCACATTAGCTATTGACGTCACAAAGATTTCCGTCAGCAGAAGAATAGACGTAGAAGACAAACGGCGCAGAGCATGTAGACACGAGAAAATAATAATTATTCCGGGCACTGTTCCTCACGGTTCGATGCTTTTGCAACCGATAATGAAACACGGCAATGAGACTTGTTATGAAACTCGGTTCGAACGGCCCCGTTATTAATTTAACCGTTGGCGACAGAGAATTCTTCGAACCCCGTGCGTTAATTGCTAACGGCGAGCGAAACGAGTCCAAGTATAGTATAGTTACGTCGGGCACACGTTGATTATCTCTGAAACGGGATCGTCCGTTTCGATGCCGTTTATTGGATTATAATTTCTGCGTAGCACTTTGATGTAACATCGATCGAGGCCCATGTCTGCTGTTTGCGTACATCGGTGAACATGCACGTTAAAAAGTTACAATGTACACGACGTATATCGAAAGGAACATCGAAAGTACACTGTAGCAGCACACCAGAAGCATATAAACGTCGACGCGACAAATCTATATATATATAAAATATCTATGGTGATATCCTTCGTGTGTATACATGTGTGTACACGTGTGCATTAGATTTATATACATTTATATACGTATATAAATGTACACATGCGATAGTTGCATGCAACAGCCAGAAACGCGATCAGCGAATTTTCGTATATCCTTTTTTCAGAGTTAAGTGCTCGAGTGCTCGGATAAAAGCATATTAAAATCTCTCCTCGGTAATCGTTAAAAGAAGTCATCTTTCGACGACAATTTGTAAAATGTCCACCTGAGCTTTAAAAGAGTACATCACCATTCCATGAGCTTTCCATGGCACGATCGAATAACCATTCTATTGCATCGTCGAAATAGCCTGGGTACTCGCGGGGAATCGAAAACGTGGATGATCGAAAGGTAAGCAAATTCAGTGTACGCGATAACAATTTCCGATAATATCTTGATGGAATAGCGACGCAATAATTCTGATTCAATTTTCCGGCCCGAAACTCATTACAGAATCCGATTTGGATCGCTCTTTCGAGGCCAGCCTCGTACGAATCGCGTTCCGTGAAAACTGCGATGACTTGACGGAATCCCCGATAAGACGAGGGCGAACAAGTAAATGGGGAGGAAAAAAAGAGAAATGTAAAACTTACCGACACCGGCGAAGGGTTGAATTCCAGAATACGCGGCGGCATGCTGGATTGCCGCATCCCCATTGGCCAGCCCTTGTGCTGGAATGGACAGATGGAGGGCATCTACACTTCAGTAAGCTCAGCTCTTATCGGGAACGGACCTACATCTAGGGCCCCTGTCGCAATAACTGACCAATCGATATTGTATACCATATTCTTCGATGTATTCATAGTTAAAGACCTAACGCGAGATTAAGCAGGAATATCAAATGCGTTCATCTACGTTTTTTATTTCAATTTTGCGTTTGAGAGACGTCATGTATTTTTGTGAAAATTCTGTTAAATGTAGAACAAGAATAAGATGAACTATTCGGCTGTTTTTGTCAATATTGTTATTAATATTTAATTCTATAATTGTGACAAATTATTACTGAATATCGCATTAGCTGTGACTGCAGGAGCGGTAGATTTGTAAATTTTTGAAATTCGATTTTTTCTTTGCAATTAATTTTCTTTTCGTTATTATTTATATATTCTTCTTTTTTCTGAATATATAAAGCATTGAGTCAATTTTAAATTCCACCATTTATCATAATAATAATAATACCACTTATAGTAATAATATTACTTTCGCTAATACAACTATCCAAGAATTGCAGAATTCATACAAATAAACGTTAAATATTTTTCTAAATAGTATTAACAAAAACGCTCAAATTTGGGTACTTTTAAGACTGTTATACATTCATAAAAGAAATATTTATCAAAATCGATGGCTCAACAAATTTCTTTCAGTCTATTTCCTTCATTTCTTAGTTTCGTATGGCTTAATAAGTTATGTTGCATGTTTACGTTACGATCAAACTCGCATAACAGGAGATACAATATTCATATTATATATTTTTACATATTGTATTAGATGTCTCGGTTTGTGTAATTGTGCTGTAAACATAATACTGATAATTCTCTTTTAAATATCTGAAATATAACGTCAAGCATAATGATGTATAGTGGTATTTGTGAGGTACATTAGCATAAAAGATGAAATTCGACAGAAATAACAAACAGAATTAATTATTTCAGTTTAGGTTTATACTAAAACATTGAGTTACTGTATGCAATTTATACAGAGTGGATTATTTAAATGAAAACACCTAAATATTTATATTGAACAATATACCGATGAACTTAGATACCTGTAAAATTAAATGATAATATAACCTAATAGTTTAATTGATTAAATTAAACGATACATTTGAATATATTAATATTCCGATAGCCAGCTACACAATGCAAATTCAAAATCATTGAAAATTAACCTTGATGTTCTGATTGTTTGCTTATGCAATCTAATTGTTGTAGTAATTCGTAGAAGTCATTAAATTGTGAATTTATGTTTACTATTTATTCAAACCTGAACTGACACATTTTGCTTCGGAGTTATCAAATGAAGTTAAAGCAACTAACCTAACTTTACTAACGTAAAACTAACTTAACCTAAGTGCTAAATTAAGTTTGGTTAGTTATTTAGTATTCAAACTTGAATCTGTACATTTATTTTTCAGTTATTTCAAATTAAATTAATTCATAATTTGCAATTATTTCAAATGAGTTTTCATTTTTTATTTCAAATGAAAGTAACCTCATCTAAACAGCAAATTAGGTTAGGTGAATATCCCGTTAAATGAGAAACAGACAATTACATAACTGCACTAACTTCGATGTTATAAATATATAATATTAAATAAAGTATTAGAAAGTGTGTTCCTCTGTCAAGTCTCAAAATATTTAATTTTAGTAATTTGCAGAAGTGAATTGTATACTTCTTTGATTTTACCACCTACTCCAACTAAAACTAGCAAATTTCATTTTCCAATAGTATCCAACCAAAATTAATCTAATTAATCTAGTCCAACTCAAATAAATTAATTCAACTACATTCAAAAATCTACCAAAACTACAAACCGCTTAAATCGGTCTTTCACTTGCAACTCCACCCGTTAGAAATCGATCCTCAATTTTACAAAAAAGGTAGATAACTGATCCACATACAAAATTCCCTGCAATACCGACAGTTCTTCCCGAAAATCATTTAGGCCGTTCAAAACTCCCAAAATCATCCCTCATTCTCCACATTAGACAATTCCTTTCGAAAACCGTTACACGAACAAATAATTTTCCATATATCCGTGCTTTGTTCTCGCGTTCATTAAAAAAATCCTGTATCGTACAGGTTTCGGGGCGAGGTTACTTGTTCCTGGTCGGAAACGCAGAATAATAAAGTCCGGCGTCGATTGGCCGAGCATTGCGCAGGGGCGGCACACTGCGCCTGAGTTGATACTCACGTCCTGCATAGGTCTGAGGTATCCCGTTGGTGTAGACGCCGGGATCCGAACCTGTTGGTTGACCGTTCGGTGTTTGTGCAGCCATGTTGAAATTGGGCATCGTTGGCGACGGTAACGACGGTATCGCACCGTTAACCGGCTGCCCTGTACCGGTACCTACGAGCAAACCTGATCAGTACACACCGGTTACCCTCTTGCTCTTACAACACTGACCTCAGTCACCCCCACGGCGCAAGGTATCGGATCGGGAATGCTTACGCTCAGATAGTTGCCCTCTGTACATCCTGTCAACCAATTTGCCCTATATATTTACGGTATATACGGTATAATTGGCAGGACGTTAGAACCCGTTTGCGAATGATCCGTATACCTCGCGCCACCGATTGAGGGATCATATGATCTGCGGATTGCTGAAATGTTAGTCGCAGGGCTGACGACGTATAATCGTCCGGTTTCTAAGTGTATCGACTCTAAGGACGATTACCAGATTTTGAACGATCAATGGGACTATCTGTTCAATTAGCTTGGGGCTTTTATTTAATCTTTCTGCTGCTATTTTTATTTAACTTAACCATCCTACTGATTTACTATTTAATTGTCAACTCTATTGACATACACATTAAACTGGTTACATTTCTAAAGTAAAAAAATGGTATTCTTACTATTATACAAACTGAATGTTAAAAAAATATTCATCTAAAATTTTAACATGAAGTAGTAAAAAATTATATCATTTCATTTTTGTCTGGTTACTAAATAAGAATTGAAGTCCCTGCATTTTTTAATACTGACAAAATGTTGACGCTACTTTCCAAAATGTCGAATCTCATTTTTTATTTCAAGCTTTCGTCAAAAATGTTTTAAGCTTCGTTAGAAATAAAAAATAATTATATAAGCAAGTTACATCTTTTATTTATTTATATTTTTACTTTAGCCTCACTTAAAAAATTATATTGTATCAATATATACACTCAATAATAAAAATTCTTTGTATCAATATATACACTCAATAATAGAAATTCTTTGTATCAATATATACACTCAATAATAAAAATATTTTGTACATTACAATATTTGCAGCCTAACTAATAAATTACTATCAAATCAAAAACAATTGTACACAACTGGTTTTAAAAACTGTCAAAACGAATTTTACGAGCGCGATGATCCACGGAGGCAAGATGGCGCCTCAAGAATGAAAGTAATCTGTGGGACCGGAAGTGGGAGGAAATAAAATATTATTTCCCTATCAAACGGTATTACCTATCGACGTATAGAAGAACGCTTGCGGTGAGCCGATTTCTGTGCTTACTTTTACTTGTCTGTACTATTTCGCTCGTATTGCGAACCCACAGGAGCCGGGAAAAGAAAAGAGAGCAAAGGAGAGCTGGTGGAAACGGTACCGCTTTGCTTCTCTGTTTTTCTCGTTCGGAAAACCTTCGATAAAGTTTCACAGTACCGGCAATATCTTTCGCCCGAGTCACGCTCGGTGAAAATGTTGTATTGATTTATGAGCCAGTTATAAGGCAACCGACTGAACGATACCGTTGCCGCGAAGTCCATGAGAAATAAACGGAAGGGCAGGATAAAAGGGGCCAAGATAAAGAAAGAGTTTCGCGCCATAGAAACCGAACTATTCGCGACAAAGTGTACGTGTGCGGACGTATGGGGGCTTTTCAATTCGATACTTCGTGATTTTCTGCAGATCGAATGTCGTCGCTGGTTTCTTGCGGGTCAAAGAGACAAATGATTTCGGAATCGGTTGTTATTGTTGACGTAACTGGATGCTTGTATGAATGAAGTTCTTTTTAGGGATAGTTTGTGGAGGGAGTGGCTTTTTTGAGGATTTGGAAGTTGGATAGTTGGAAAATTTGAAATTTGGGTATTTGGCAATTAAAAATTTTAGATATTTGGAAATTCAGAAATTTGGAAGTTATGGAACTTGGGAATTTGAAATTAGAGGGTTTGGTATTGAGAAAGATACATATTTGAGAGGTTAGGAATTTGGAAATTTAGAATTTTAGAAATTTGAGAATTTGGAAGTTATGGAACTTGAGAATTTGAATTTAGAAGGTTTGGGATCGTGAAAGATAGATATTTGAAAGGTTAGGAATTCAGAAATTTAGTATTTCAGAAATTTGGAAATTTAGAAGGTTTGAAATCGAGGAAGATTGATATTTGAGAGGTTACTAATTTGGAAATTTGGGAATTTGAAAGTTATGGAACTTGGGAATTTGAGTTTCAGACGGTTTGGAATCGAGAAAGATTGATATTTGAGAGGTTAGGAATTCAGAAATTTAGAATTTCAGAAATTTGGAAATTTAGAAGGTTTGAAATCGAGGAAGATTGATATTTGAGAGGTTAGGAATTCAGAAATTTAGAATTTTAGAAATTTGGGAATTTGGAAGTTATGGAACTTGGGAATTTAAATTTTGAAGGTTTTTTCGAGAAAGATAGATATTTGAAAGGTTAGGAATTTGAGCAGTTAGAAATTTTGAAATTGATAACACTAGATTTTGGAAATTTTGAAGCTGGGGAAGTTACAAACTTGAATTTTGAAAGTTAGAAATTTGCTACATTAAAAATTTAGAATAATCTGAAAACTAGCGAATTTTAAAATTTGAATTTTGAAGGTTAGGAATTTGGTAATCTACAGAAATCTACAGGGTTATGAACATGGAAGCATCGAAATGTGGAAATTTGAAATATTTGTACTTTTGTAAATTTAACAAGTAAGGATTTGTGAATATGGAAATTCAGAATTTAATTTGAAGCTTTAAAAATTCGGAAGCTTGAGTCCACTTACGTCAACAGTAACAATTTAGCTACTCCAACACTTTGATGGCCATACATTTCATGAAATATTTCTCTGTTTGCAAAGTACGTATTAATTATTTTCAAGAACACAGTTTTCCTATTTTTCAAAAATCGAAATTGTTTATATTTTTGTTATATTGTTAATTAAAAATTTGGAAAGATTTTCAGTGATTTTCCTAATTTATTTTCTTTTTCAAACAGGAGCAGTAACGCAGAACAACATAGAAACAGGAGCTACCATAATTTTGAGCAGCAAGTATACAGCACTGACAGTTATAGAAACTTTTGCAAAGTACTTGTATTGTACACGTTAACAACATTTCAAAACAACTGTCGGCTATTTCCGTTAAAGTTCAACTGCGTAATTAATGTTTGTTATTACTGTGCCAGTAAAAAGTTTGTGTACATTTCTGTTTAACAATTATCTGCAACTGTTTATTTTGCGACTTTTGGAATAATTATAATTCTACCATATCAGTGATAATTTAAAATGCAGTACTTGATTAAAATATACTATTCGACTAAAATACGCCATTTTATAATTTAACATACATTGTGATAAAATTTCGGAAATTACATAACGCCTTAATTTATGAGTTCGTTGACAAGAGATTTATTGTTGTAATATTAATTACTTTTGTAATATTAAAAGAGACAAAAAATGTTCAAATGGTAGGGATATTTTGTATATGTCTTTGTTTACTTTATGCCTATCATTGGTGACCGAGTTGATTTAAAATTAAATTTAAAATTCAGTCGAAAATTTGTCTCATTTCAACAGTCACATGTGGAGTTATATTACAAGACAAGGGGTTAATATTTTGTACTATACATAATGAAGTTTATTGACAGAATTATACCAAACAATTCCTATGTAACATACCTACCGCAAAATTTTCAAAATACAATAATATAACAATAATAATGCAATAAGTATTTAATGCAAGATGGCGTACAGAGTTACTGGAATTGCGATATATTACATGACAACGGCCCTCAAAGTGTTAACTTATGTTATACACGACGTTCAAAATAGGTGCATAGAGTGTTAAAAGAAAGAAAAACGTACCGGAAGTCGGTGGGACGATGGGGTTTGGCATGCCATTTAACGCGTGCGGCAATTGTCCAGCTGCCAACGCCGCCATCGGGTTGATGTACGTCCCCTGTGCCGTTGCGGCAGCCATGAGGGCTGCTTGCTGCTGTAAATAGAACTTATATGTCGAAAACACATCCGAGGGAATGTATTCCGCTTAAATTGTTAATTAAGTGGTAAATGTCTACGTTAATGTGAACATAGTGTCCCGATAACGCGAATTACAAGACCAATTTCTGTTTTGCGAAAATACTTTGTGAAAATATGAAAATTTCTAATTTTTAAATTCTTTCTGCAGTTCTGTAATTTTCCAATTCTCCAAATGTTTATATCTCAAATTTTTAAATATTGAAATTCTTAAATTATGGAATTCTCAAATGTTCAAATTATAAGATTTTCAAATATACAAATTCTTCAAATTTTAATTTTTAATTTTTACATTTTTCAATATTCCAATTTTCCAATTTTCTAATTTTCTAATTTTCCAAATTTCCAAATTTCTAATCTTCCAATTTTCCAATTCTCCAATTCTCCAATTCCCCAATTCTCCAATTCTCCAACTCTCCAATTCTCCAATTCTCCAATTCTCCAATTCTCCAATTCTTCAATTCTCTAATTCTCGAATTGTCCATTTGCAATATTAAAGCTAAGAATACTTATAATTTCAACAAACTTTGATCTCACAATACAAAAGTCCACAAATCTGGAAAATTAGTAACTCGGTAATTTTATTTAAATTTTCAAATCGAGTAATTTTAGAGGTAGGTACTTTCAAAGGTAGTAATTTAAAAATTTAGGAACTTAGAAAATAGGCAATCTAGTACTTCAGATTTAGAAGTTTAGAAATTTAGCTATTTGAAAATATACCAAATATTCTAAATTTTTGAATTTTTCTTCAAAACTCTAAAATTAAGCAACCACTAAATTTTCAAATTGAAAAATTGACTTTCATTGGAAAGTTGTTCATGCCGGCAGATTCATATCACATGCCCAAAACCATCGCTTCACTTATCCATCACTACCGGCAACCGAATTAACCCACTTACTTCAAAAATGTGTCTACCACAATGAATTTTATATACAATTGTCTATCAATACCAGATACAACAACAAATCAAAAACAGATTGTTATAATTTCGTTGATCTTCATCAAAAAGTCAAGGTTAACAAAATTTTGTTACACCCATATTGTTCAATATAATAATGTCTATAGAAATCCTTCATTTCCCAGAAGTATTATACCTTTTCTTATCAGAAACAGCTTTGTTTTATATAATAATACTCATTTTAACAATGCTGGCCACTGTTTTGTTTGTTTCACTGACTTCTTTATATCAATCGTATGAAAGCATCACTCGACAATGCTGCAGACGAACACCTACGTTCGAAAATAATGCGCATTTATTCCACAAATAAGGCTACCATTTTGTTGAATTTCTCTTATCGAAGCACACAACAATTAAATAAGTACCGAATATTAAATAATGATATGCGAAAATTTTTCGGCATGAAATTCCACCTTAGAAATTTACATTCGTGTCTTTCGAAATTGTTTTTCGTTATTTTCTCTTTCATAAAACAATTTTATAATCATTTTATAATCATGTATATAAAGAATATGATTTACATTGTGTATTATTATGTGTATGTACGGTATTTATAGTATGAATATGAATTCGTCACAAAATCTTCACAATCTAAAATCTCAACTGTCCAAAGTTTCGACAGCTAAAATCCCGTCATTTAAAATCCCAGTGGTGTCGAATATACTTGTCGAATAAAATAATATATAAAACTAGCTTGAACCAGTTTAATTTTAACTGTTAGCCGCGTTTGACTGGTATCATTTAAAACCTCACTTGAAGTGCGTTCGATAAATATATTCGGGATTATAACTGCCGGGACTTTAGCTATCGGGTTTTTAGAGGTTGGGATTATAGGTGTCGGTATTTTGGCTTTCATAGTTATAACTATAATTATAATATATTACATAATTTATACTAAATACTGTATAATATTGTTAAATTTATAATATATGTATCATTAGTGTAGTACATTATTCAAGTATATTGTAAGTTACATTATCATAACTGTAGTATAACTACAGCTATGACTATATATAATTATAACTATAAATATCGTTATACTATACATAACTGTTTATAGTCTAAACAACTGGAATATTTTAATTTTTTTTTATGAAAAAGAATTTACAAGTACAGAAACCTAACACATTAAAATATAAAATATAAAATATGCAAATAAATTTAAATATGTATTATATGATTGAAAATCTTGTGATTGAATTAGTTGTAACTTTGTATTAGTTAAAAATAAATAAAGATTATAATTTGTGAAGATTAAAAGAATCGAAGAGAAGAATTTTATACGCAGGACGTGAAAGAACGATAGATTGCGAATCAGTTAAAAAAAGAAGAAAGATGGGTTAAAGTTGTCACGATGACAAGTGAAGGAGGAGAATATCGAATATCGTCGGTCATTTTTAACAAGACAGAAGCTATTATAGATTGTGATTCACGATAACGAGGACAACTAGACGGTAATGTGGTAACGCGAGAGCCATTAACGGTAATGCGACCCACCTGAGCATAAGCGCCGTAAGCGCCGAACTGATTGAAGACGAAAGGGTTAAGGATGCTCATGTTCCCGGCCATTTGCTGCATGCGTCTTACTTGTCTCTCTTTCTCAGTATCTGCGAACTTTACCACTACGCTGGATGACGCACCCTGAAACACAATGGAATAATACTTATTTATTAAAGTCGATTGCAATATTAATATAATGTTAATATACCAATATCAGTTTAGGTTATTAATGTTTGGAAGTAATGGTGTTCAACCATGAATTTGGAATTTGATAATTTCTATATTTTAGATTAGAATTATCAGATTCCCAAACTGGTAAATTTGCAAATTTTTGAACTATTAAATCAAGTTCCCATAGTTTCAAAATTTGAAACTGACAAAGTTTCAAATTTCCAAATTTTCAAACTTCCAAATTTCCAGACTTCTAAATTTTCAAATTCTCAAGCTTCTAAATTTCTAAATTTGCAAGTTTCCAATCTTTCAAGTTTCCAAGGTCCCAATTTCCAAAATTCCATAATTCTCAAAATTACAAATTCCAAAATTCCCAAACGGCCATCTTTTCTAATTTCCAAATTTCCAAATTTCCAGACCTCAAAATTTTCAAATTCTCAAGCTTCTAAATTTCCAAATTTCTCAGTTTGCAAGTTTCCAATCTTCCAAGCTTCCAAACTTCCAAGGTCTCAATTTGCAAAATTCTATAATTCTCAAAATTCTAAACTCCAAAACTCCCAAACACCCATCTTTCCTAATTTCCAAATTTCCAAATTTCCAGACCTCAAAATTTTCAAATTCTCAAGCTTCTAAATTTCTAAATTTGCAAGTTTCCAATCTTTCAAGTTTCCAAGGTCCCAATTTCCAAAATTCCATAATTCTCAAAATTACAAATTCCAAAATTCCCAAACGGCCATCTTTTCTAATTTCCAAATTTCCAAATTTCCAGACCTCAAAATTTTCAAATTCTCAAGCTTCTAAATTTCTAAATTTGCAAGTTTCCAATCTTTCAAGTTTCCAAGGTCCCAATTTCCAAAATTCCATAATTCTCAAAATTACAAATTCCAAAATTCCCAAACGGCCATCTTTTCTAATTTCCAAATTTCCAAATTTCCAGACCTCAAAATTTTCAAATTCTCAAGCTTCTAAATTTCTAAATTTGCAAGTTTCCAATCTTTCAAGTTTCCAAGGTCCCAATTTCCAAAATTCCATAATTCTCAAAATTACAAATTCCAAAATTCCCAAACGGCCATCTTTTCTAATTTCCAAATTTCCAAATTTCCAGACCTCAAAATTTTCAAATTCTCAAGCTTCTTTTCCAAATTTCTAAATTTACAAGTTCCCAATCTTCCAAGCTTTTAAGGTTCCATTTTGCCAAATTCCATAATTCTCAAAACCACAAATTCCAAAATTATCAAACGCCCATGTTTTCTAATTTCTAAGTTTCCAAATCTCCAAATTTTCAAATTTCCATATTCCTGAATTTTCAAACTTCAAATTTCTAAAATTGCTCTCACATTCCCAAACTTGCAAATTTCTAAACTCTTTCAAATTTCCTATCCAATTTTTCAAATCCAAATTTTCCGAAATTGCAAAATTCTCAAATATAAGGAATAGCACATCAGGAAGATCGTCAATTCAAAAACTTGAAATTTTAATAATAAAATTTTGTTAATATAATGAATTCTTAAAGCAATTAATACAAATATTCATATACGTAATGATCAATATTAACTCATAATATAATTAACCTATAAGTGATGAATGTCTTCTCTTCAATTTTTCTTTCAATCTTTCCCTACTCCCTAAAGAAGACTTCTCCACGTGATTTCACGGTAAAATCCATAAGAATTTGTAGTTCAAATTCCACGAGACAAAGTCGACCTATTTCCAACATCCTCCTTTGACCAGCGCATTATGGGAAATCAAGATGGCGGCCTATGCGATTTATCGTGTCAAAATTAAGTTGCTCACGATGTAAATTGCCTTGCTATGACAAGCGCGTCTGAAACGTAGGATCAGATACTCCTGTCAGACGTGCCGCTTCGTAATTTCCATGAGACGAAGCGGCGCTGTAGCAAGGGGATTACCGTCGCCGACGTAAAGCCGCATAATTTTCTAGAATCCCGCATTTTCTCCGTGACCGCGTACGCGTTTCTCGTCCTTTATGAATTTATAACACGTATAAAATTTGATAATAACGCCGCTTCGACAACGGACGTAATTATCAAAGAAGCCTCAACGTCTTCCTCATTAATCGCTGGAAATTAACCTATCGGCTAACTCGCTTGCGTTTAACAGCTATACAAATTTTTTCTTGTTAAAAATTAAAATATTTCGTTAGGTTAAACTTTGGGGTGTATAAAATTATTGACTTCTTTTTTTAGTATTGTTTTTTATGTCTGGAATATGAAGATTCACGTTTTCTTGGTTAGGTAGAAATCCAGCAGTTAATTGTTTAATTTTAGTAAAAATTGAAAATATGCAATTGTAAAATAAAATTCTGAAATTAAATTTTCAGTTATAAAATTCCATTTAATTATTGAATTTTCGATTCTAGAATCAAATTTTTTGGTTACAATTTCAATTTTTAAAATAAAATTTGAGAATTCAATTTTGAATGCTAAAATAAAATTTTCAATTTCTAAAATAAAATTTGAAATTCCATTCTGAATTTTTAAAATTAAATTTTGCAATACCATTTTGAATTTTAAAATAAAATTTTACAGTACCGTTTTGTACTTTAGAATTAAATTTTTACAATACCATTTTGTATTATAAAATTAAATTTTTACAATACCATTTTGTATTACAAAATTAAATTTTACAATTTAGTCTTCAATTTTTAAATTACTCTTCAATTCAATTTTCATCCAATTCAATTTTTCATCAAAATTAACTATTTTAACGTAGTTCAAATTTTTTATTGAATTTGCAGATAAAATAATTTCTCCAGTTTCACCAATAAATCAAAATTAAATACGCAGTCGAAAAATTACATTGAAAGTCCGGCTTTAATAATAAAAGAATATAAATGACAGGTTCTTACGGTGATAAAGATTGATCTATCAAAGGATCATGATCGTGCAAAAGATGGAATTATTACGCGTATTTCTCGATGTGAAAAGACGCTGCTTTTCGAGATGCTTACGAGGATACATAAGGCGATGACGTTCTTACCACGTCTAAAATATAAATGGAAAGGCAACAGGTGGTCAGTGGCCATTGTGAGTGCGGAGAAAAGCTCAGCTTTCGAGCTTCTAGTGATATATTATATTCACGTCATCAATGCAAATGCCGGGCGTGTCTGAGTTTATATAACGATGGTAATATTGTAACCCGTTGACATGCTTGCTGGAAATTCCGCATTCTTGTCACGCGATTTTGCATGGTTCATCCCCTTTCATCCCTTCCTTGCTATACACTTTTTCACTTGCTCCGTCATCTCTTCCCTTTTTATTTGCTGTCTTTCTTTCAAATATAATATTCTTTTATTGTATTTATTTGAAACGTTCAAATATTTTACAATACATTAATATTAAGTAAAAATTATGTAGATATTATAATAATATGGTGATATGATATGTTAAGAATTAGATATTAATACAATAGCATGATATTTTAAGAATGTTTATAAGATGTTAATATAATCATATGATACTTTAAAATGTTAGTATGGCATTCATATAATTATTGCTACTTTAATAATATTAATATGGTATTATTTCAGATATAATGTTAATACAATACTAATGCAAGTATAATATTAATATAAATACAATGTTAGTACACTTATTATAAATATTAATATAAATATGAATATTTAAGAAAAATACGCAAGAAAATCTTTTACAGAAAAATAATATCAAGATGAACCTTGTAATGACCCTGAAATGACCTATGGTCATGCTAATATTTTTTCTAGCAAATGTTAATTAAATTAAATACTCTGAATCTTAAAAATCATTGCCCACAAAGATTAATACCTCAAAATCAAATTCTCCCTTGCACTCAAATGTATTTTGTTAGTGTGAGCTTTAAAGCTTCATGGTTAAAGAGTTTAATGAATTTTTATATTATTATTTTCTTATTAGGAATGTCACTATTATCTGTGTAACTATGTTTGTACATAATACTATAGATTTATTTTAAATAATTTATTTGAAATTTCTATATTAAGTGTGTAAACTTGTATTAATGAATGTAAGTTACAAGTACAAGGAGTTAATAAGATTCCTGTTTACGTCAATATCATAAAGCTATAAAAAGTTAGCTTTCGAATCAAATTAATGCCCGTAAAATTTTACATCGAAACTTTCTGGAAACCACCGATAAAACGATAATCGCTATTAATACGTAGCTCAATGTAATATTCTTTTAAAGGAACACAGTCTAATTTAAGATATCGTAGCTTTAGTTTCAGGGTTGTTCGCAAGGGAAACAACACCTACGAGTTTCGCGGCGTGCTCTTGATATTAGTTACAGTAATGTGGAAAGTTGTATCCAACCATGAAACCCGCATAACTTTTATGCCTTGTAAACTGTGGCCGGATGCTGGTTTCCTTGAAACGTAGTGGTTATACACGCGTTTGGCCTTATTCGACTTGGCTGTAAACGAAACTTTTTAATAATTGCGAGCCAACCGTCCCTTTTCTACCCTGTTCGAACACAATTCAACGACCGCCAATTGTATTCGACGCTCATACGCGTGACCGAGAACAAAATGGCGGCTCGTGTAAAATGCTAATGAAAATGTCTCGCATCGCTACCGATAAAAACGTACCCGCTTAAAAGCTTTTAACATGGCATGAATTTAGTGCGGCATTCATTTGATCTCTGTTCAACCCGTGATTTCGTAGCAAAAATTTCTCAAACTTAACTTATGTAATTACGTACAGATAACTTAATTCTTTTAGAAACGTTCGTGCAGAGATAATTCTTCTTTATTTCAAATCTTAATTTAACAAACATTGTAAAGATTTACAAGGTTTATAATTGTAACTGATTTTATGATGTCTTTTAATTATAAATTATTGTACTACACACATTTGTAAGTTATTGTATTGTTTATTTGAATATTAACTATATTAATAGAGGTTCGTAATTTATAATAACTTACAATCATTCCACATATCTACTATGATATTAAA